AGCAGTCAGGCAGATTTTTTTTCTGGAGCTTATTGGTCAGCTGCCCTAGCTAACAGGTGAGACTCGATAAGAGACCCTATCTCAAAAACCAAAGTGGAGAATAACTGAAGAACATACATTATCTACCCCTAGCCACTACAAAGATAAACACATACATACTACACACACGAACATACACACAAACACCACACACACAAAAATTGAGGGAAGTTTTCAATGATAATGAACTAGCATTTATCAAGTACTTTTTGTGTGCTATGTGCAGTAGCAGGCCCTAGAGAGGACAAACATTAATAAACGATTTTAACACTTACAAGCTCTATGATCCAATACACTCAAATCAAAGACGACTCAGGATGCAAAATTATACATGAAGGATACATAAGATATATTCTACAATTCAGGGCTCGACAGACCATTCATTGGTTTATGAGAACATTTTCATGAGTAATTGAACTAAATCCTATACCATATGATCATATGATCTGTCATTCAAACCAAAATGCTTTTCTAAGGAGGTTCTAAAATTTAAGAAACAGAATTTTTCTAAGTATTTATGCACTAACATACTATACTGATACTAGCGATCTTTCTTATAAGTTTCTTATAGAATTATATAAAACTCCAAAACTAATTTCAAAAATATTTTCATTTTTCTTTTCTGCCCCCTTAGTTTCACTAATCAACTGAAGTTGACCTTGAACTTCTGGCTCTTCTGCATTAGCCTCCGATGCATGACCAAAAATAATAATAGTTTTGTAGGGTCTGAAGAATGATTTACAATAGTCATACCTTTGGTTTTGAATGAGTGATTTTATTAAATATATAGCAAGTCAAAGTAAATGAACAATCGGTAAATTACAGGTAGACGGCAAAACATCACTAAATTGGCCTCAACTTGTCCAGTTAGTTTCTCCTGGGTTCTCTTCATGTTGTAATTTGTTCCTGTACCTGGAAGGCTCACTAGAGGGGACATTCTACTCTGCCCAAAACTCTCTGAGGAATTCCAGCCAACAACCTCAAAAGGACTTCCCCAATGGATTTCTGCTAGATGTTTTAAGTACCTGATTTGATGTTCTGGCTTGGGTTTTAAGATTTAATTATTTATGTGTATAAGTGTTTTGTCTACATGTATGTGCATCACATGGATACCTGGTGCTTATAGAGGTCAAAAGAGAACACTGATCTCTGGGGACTGGAGATAGAGACAGTTGTGAGCCGCCATGTGGGTGCTAGGAATGGAATCCATACCTTCTGGAAGAGTAATCAGTTCTCTTAACTGTTCAATCAATGCAACTCTCCAGCCTATTGTGATACTTCTTTTTTAAGTGTTTAATTTTTGATATGTAAATTGTGTGTGTGCATATACATAAGTTCAGGTGTCCTTGGAATCCAGAGGATTTCATGGAGCTGGAGTTAGAGGCAATTAGAAGCATACATGTTCTTATCCACTGAGCCATATCCCCAGTCCCAATTTGATGTTTTGTCTACCTCTTCATCTTTTGCTATGTATACTTTTACCTTAGCTTGCTGTATACTTAATAAACTCACTTATTCCAAACCAAGAGTATATCTATCACGATGATTCTGCTAACCATATATGATAATAATTTTCTTAAAAATACACCTGGACCCCCCTTCCCTATAAAAAATACTTTAGTGTTCTCCTAAAATGTTGCTAGTGCCTTAAATGACTACTAGATTCTCTATCTTCCAACAGATGGTATCTCAACAATTTTTCCATCAAGTCTACCAAAAGCAGTAAGGAGGACTCCAGCTTCTGCACCCCCAACAAAGAATATTCCAGAAGTTTTCCTCAACCCTATTCATATACATAAGATCATGGTGTACATATATGACATGTGGTTGGTGATGTGAGCAAACAGCTAACCTCTCAAAAAAAGGACTGCACAGTTTGAACTTGATCAAGAGCCCTAAATTAGAGACTAAATACCCTTTAAATGAATCAGCGCTGTTTTGGGGAATACAATTATGAACAATATACGTATGTACCTCCCAAGACTACATTTCGTGTGTGAAAGCCAAGTTTTATCTTATCTCTTTCCTCAGAATAAAGTAAAATACACCTCAGATATGACCATAAGAGACTTAATTTCACGGACCCAAGTAATTCACATCTGTATTAAAGCATGGATCAGTAGTTACAGATGAAGAAATTACTCCAGACTTTTCTTCTCTCCTGTCAAAAGACATCTGTATATTACTACACCTATGTCAACACAGTGAAGGCTACGTTACATAGTGAGTTCATTTCAAAAATACTGCAATAGTATTCATAATACAGATGTTTTACTTTCAAACGAATAAACTTCCAAACCCTATTGTAAATATAAGAACTGGACAAGAAAAAAAATGAAAATAGAATAAAGCATTTTTCCTTTGAAGCAGCTGATGTTATAAATTGTCTTCATTTAACGTTGTACAAAAATTCTTCGGCATTAGAAGTCAATCCATCAATAACTATTGCTTTACTTTTAATATGTACAGATACACTTATATTACTCAAATATCTAACTTTAAATTATTTTCAAATTCCAAGTTTTCTGTACATGTGAAACTGAAAACGGCAGCTACTTTACAGACTACACTAATTTCTGTGTATTTGAATGAGAGAATACTAAGGTGCATGTGCCACAACTGAGTGGGTGGCTTTGGGAAGGGGTTAGCTCCTTCTTCCATGGGTTCTGGGGAAAGAACTTGGGCCATCAGGCTTGCTATACCACCAGCTCTAGCCTGCATTAGTTTCAAAATAAACTTAGGCCACTATCTCTTAACATCAACTTTTCAAATGACAGTTAAGATTTTGAAAGCAAAATTTATCACTTAACCTGTAAATACTTCAAAATCAGTAGATGTCCAAAACTAATCTAATTTTCTTGCCTATAAGGCCTATTCTTCAAATTATACTTTACTAGCCACTCAAGCCAAAAGCCGAAGTCATGTTTCTCTTCTTTCCTACATTCAGTCAACTCTTGTTAATTTTCTTTTCTGTTTCTGTAGGAGAAATATACTACTACACAACCTCTACTGTAAGGCTGGCAGCCCTGAGAACTCCTCTTTTAGTGTAGCATGTTCTGGATGCATTCCTGCTCCAAAGAGAATGAGGAGAAGGTATTTCCACATGCAACCTGAGATTGAAATACTACATAAATGCAGTTAATGCCAAGCCACAAACTTACCCACAAACTTACCATTTTCAAAAAGACACTCTCACCTCATTCTATCTTAACTCTAAACACTGTAATCATAATCAATGTTAATCACAAACTAATTTTAATTACGTTTAAACTTCACATCTTTTTCGGAATAAGTCCCCAGTGACTATCGGGCAATATGGTATATGATTTGGCATGACTTTACTTTTTTACCTAAGAACTATACACTGCCTGCCTATTCATTACACCGTATTTTAGTTACTTTGCTAGCTGCTCCATAAGCTAACTTCAGGTAAATACACTACAGGTTATGCTTCCTTTTGCCCAGCACCTGTGATCTATTTGGCAAAACAAAAAAACACTTTCTGTATACTCTTAAACTAAGTACAACATATTATTATAGTTTGACTCTCAGTTCTTCAGACCAGCAGATTATTCACATTAAAATTTCCAAATCTGTAACTGTATGCCCGAAGTACAGTTGAACATATGCTAGCTACGTACTTGAAATATTGAGCCATGTACAATACATAAAATCTACATTAACATTTGCTATATTTTGGGTACAAACTTTAACAAAACAGTTAAAAACTATATTTGAGAAAAAATTAAAATGAAAATGGAGATGGGAAAACAAAACCTCCCCCAAAACACAAGGGAGGATAAACTGTCCTATTGATTGACTAGTACGGAAGGAAATAAAGTCAGAGAGAAATTCAGAGGTAAGCATGTGGCCTCTGAGCGAGAGCACTACCTCCAGAAACCTCAACTTCACCGAAGTCAAAAAGAAGGGAGCAAAAGAACTGCGGGAAGTAGCGTGCAGACCCGCGTAGACGGTTATCTGTGGAGGTCCGGAAGAAGTGCCCACAAACGAAAGGTGAAACTTCTGCTTTGGGGAACTAGAATCTCGAGTTTCTGGGCGGCTGAAGCCTCAGACACCCTGGGAAACACACGCCCTAGACCGGCTGCTCCGCAGGACCGACGGCCTGAGCGATGCACCTGACCACACTGGAGACAGGGAGGCTCCGCAGGGGACAGTGGAAAGGACAAGATAAGCGCGTAGGAGATGATGAGGGAGGGAAACAGGGAAGGAAGACGCTCAAGTCAATTCAAGTATCCGAGTTCCAAGTCCGGAGAATACAGCAGTACACAAGACAGAGGGGCTCCTTGCCCTCGTGGTGTGGCTCCCAAGATCACTGCGGAGACGCGGCTGCCCCGGGCCGAGGACGCGGCCGAAGCCCTACTTTCCACACACGCCGACTCCAGTCCCTGAAGTCACTTCTCCGACGCCGGGCGTCGGTGGCGGCAGGTGACCACCTGGCCCAACGTGGGCCTCCTCCCGGAACCCCCGGCCCAGGACGGTCCCCCTGGTGCTCACCGAATCCTTTAATGAGCTCGGTGAAGACCCCGGGGTCGCTTTCCATGAGACACCACTCCCCGGCATTGCTCGACATGGCCCCGACCACACACCGCCCCGCTCCACCTCGCGCTCTCCGAAACCCGCAGCACAAGCTGCCACCGGCCGCAGACCTCAGCAAAACCCGCCGCGGAGCGTCAACCCCACGTCACCCCGCCTACTTCCCGACAGCCTCCGGGCGCCGTCACCTGCCGCGCGACGGAGCACAGAAGGACGCTCTAGCCACCCAGGAGACGTCGAAACTCCTCTTCAGCATCTCAGGAGCCGTAGCGCCCTCCGCCGGGCCGGAGAAGGGGCGGGAGCGCCGGAGGGAGGTACATCCGGGACCCTTGGCACCACGGAGCTGGGGCGGAGCGATGGAAGGGGCGGGGCTCGGTATGGGGCGGGGCTCGCTCCGACCCGAACCTGGAGCTGTCCTCGCCCTTTCGGGCCGCCGCCTATTCCTGGTGCTACGCAGGGCTTCTGTAGGCGCCGCGGGTCCGGAGCATCGCCTTCCAAGCAAAGGTGGGTCGCTACAGGCCTACTGCGGGGCGGGGAGCCGGATTTTGTGCAGTCCCAGCGATCCTGGGCACCCGAGGTCTGGCCGGTGCTCACTCTCTTCCACCGGCATCCCAGCGTCAGAGGCCAGGGAAAGCCTTCTCTGCCTCTGTGCTTCCGTGCCCACTGGAGAACAGGACCGATTTTGCATCCTAATATTTCAAACCTGGCCCAGTTGCTCCGCAGGATGGAGTCTTGGGGAACTCAGATCAACTCTGCCGCTTACAAAGCTCCTGGAGAGCGGGCGTGCTAAGGCCCCTTTTCACTCTTTCTCTCCGTCCTCCTGCGGCTTTGCCATAGAGGCGTTGTCTCGGATACGGGTTTGGGAAGGAGCTTTGTAGGAAGACCAAAAGCGAAATTATCTTAGAAGAATAATAAACAAGGAAGGGAGAAAGATTTCTCGTAAAAGTCCAAGGGATGAGAGACTTAAGTATCAGGATGCAGTACCTTACGGAGAAATGCGCACCACCCCTCGCCCCCTCCTCCTCTTAATAGTGCATTACTTTAAAAACACTTGAAATGGTTTTGATGAATTAAAACAAAAAAATAGCTATTTGCAATTAATACTTGTCATTGTTCGGAGATTATTTTATTCATCATTTCTTAAAGGTACGTTCCAAGGAAGGCTTTTGGCTTCCACAGGGAAAATTACTGCTCAGAGCATCCTACCATGGTGACATCTTGCCATAGTTCCTCAATACTTTTCATTGCATCACACTTAATGGAGATGTTGTTTTCATTACCTTTGTGTGTGGTGTGTCCATTTGAACCTGTGATCCTGGTTTTTGTAAAGTAGTATGTATAACTTGATAACTGTAAACTAGCCTTGCCTTCCATTTTTAAAGAAACCGCATATTTGCTTGACTTCTCAGAGTAAAAAAAAAAAGTTAACCTTTCCAAATTACATGATTCAGAAATATTGGTTTAATATTTATGTAAATTGAAGGAAAATACAGGAATCTTTATATTAGTAATGGTAAATGTATAGATTGTAGCCTGGAAGAATTTGAAACAGACGTGTTATTACACCAGTGTTTTACTACCTATTTTACATTCTACATTAAGAGAATGGGCAACATGTAGAACAGCACAGCACTGGTGGACCTGATGGCGAAGAACAAGTGTAAAACACTCAAAATGTTGTTATAGTTTTAACAGTTAAAGTCTCCCATAGCTTTAATTTATAGAGATGTAAGAAAACTTCAAGTGGTATAAATTCGTGAGACTGTTGTTTAAAGAGGTCAGAACTACTCAAAGAAGAACTAATGTTATTGTTTTTTACTTAGGTTTACAGCACTTGATTACATAGGACTAGATATAACCAGAAAAGTAGACTTCGATTTTCCTCACTGCCCACCCTTCTAAACCACTGGACTGGAGCTTAGGCCTTTGGGAAAAGGGACACTGGCAGTTGAAGAAAGAAGAAATTAAGCTACTGTTAGTTGATGAGCATCTCGAACTCAAGGCTGAGTCACTTCAGTAGTATTACTAAGATACTACCAGCACTTGGTACATTCCAAGAGATTTTGAAACTGTCAGGAACCATTGTATCTCCATGTCATTTAATGTTGCCGATTTTAAAGTAATTTGTATTTCAGCCCTTAGTAATAAAAAGGAGAATAAATAGGTTGAAGTAAACTGCCATTCGATTTTCTATATTTAAATGTTTTTATTGAGATATGCATATATATATATATATATATATATATGTCTGTAAAGAAGTTTTGTAGGTGACTTAGTCACTACTAGCAGAGCAAGATGCAATTCCAAGATGCCTACTCTGCAGCCTGAAGGAGTTCTCTCGAGGGACCTCTACTCAGGTGTAGCTGGGACCCTGACTTATACTGCAGAAAACAGTTTCCAAATGAGTCAATCTGAGGGCATGCTGGTCATTGTAGATCATAGGCATCAAAGCTGGGTAGGACTGTTAGTTGCTTCCCTTGCTTGGAAGCTTGCATGGAGTCTTCTGGTATCATGAAAGCTAGTCCTCGGAGGGGAGGCTTTCCTGTTTGAGACCTCTTGGTCATGTGTCCAAAATACATGATATCTTCAGCAGTAAGCACTTAACCTTCCACCTCTGGGAGGCAACTACAAGCACTAGCAATAGCTTATGATTTTGGGGAATCTCTTAGAAAACTCTGACAAACAACCCAAAAGGAAGCTAACATACCTAGTGTTGGGATTTTTATTAAATGGTCTCTGGATCTTGGAGAAAGCATTGTCAGCCAGGGTGAATAATTTTCACTTAAACTATACACACACACACACACACACAGAGAGAGAGAGAGAGAGAGAGAGAGAGAGAAGAGAGAGAGAGAGAGAGGTAGATAGATACATATAATATGTGTAATTTTAGGTACATAGATAATATGATTCCTATGACTTTTCCAGACCCCAAGACTGCTATTTTACCACCTCCCTGCCTCTTAATTAGAGTCCCCACCACCATGACCGTTTTTCCATTCCCTGCTTCAGACCACTTACTTGTACCCTGCTATTCCTCTCTCTATTGCTCCTCCCTTCCCTTCTCACCCCTGCCATGGTCCCCTTAGTACTTTGCTATTTTCAGTTGTTTCTGCAAACTGTATACTCACATCTGAAGATTTGGAGCCAGGGAATTTAGATGAGAAAAAAATAGGACATTTATCTTTCTGGGTCTGTGTTACCTCATTCAATATAATTTTTGCCAGTTCTGTCCATTTGCCTTCAAAATTCATGGTTTCATTTTTCTTTACAGTTAAATAGTATTTCATAATGTATCTGTGCCACATTTTCAATATCCATTCATAAGTTTGAGAACATTTAGGTTGTTTCCTTTTTCTAGCTGTTATGAATGAACATGGCAGAGCAGATATATGTGGGGCAGGATGACGAGTTCTTTGGGCATCTGCTCTGGAATGAGAAAGCCAGGCAGGCAAGTCATATGGAAGATTTATTTTTAGGCTTTTGAGGATCCTCCATGCTGATTTCACGAGGGGCTGAACCCATTTGCAGTCCCACCACCAGTGAGTGGGGAATCCCTCGTGCCCACATGCTCTCAAGCATGTGTCAGTTGTTTTGTTGCTTTTCACCTTCCTGAACTCTGGTGAGATGACATCTCAAAATCATTTTGATTTCCATTCTCCTAATTGCTAGGAACCATGAGTTTTTTTTAAATACTTCTTAGCCATTTTTTAATTCTTTTTTTTTTTCTATTGAGAACTCCCTGATCAGATTCCTAGCCCATTTCTGAATGTGACTTTTTGTCACAGAAGGTCTCTTTTATTTCTATATCCTAAATACACATAAAGATATCAAATGTATATTGATGTAAGATCCTCTCCTATTCTGTGAGCTTCCTTATCACTCAGTTAACTATTTCTTTAGCTGGGCAGAAGCTTTTAGGTTTTATAAGGTCCACTTGTCAATTGTTGGACTTAACTGCTGGGCCACTGAGGGTTCTAGTCAAAAAGTCCTTTCCTACACCTATATCCTATAGGGTAATGTCTATGGTTTTTTTCCTAGTAGTTTCCATGTTTCATGCTTCACACTTAGGTCTTTGGTTTATTTGGATTCAGTTGTGTTAGTGTGCAAGGTGATGCAGGTCTTATTTCATTCTTCTACATGTGAACACCTCATTTTCACAGCACTGTTTGTTGATGATGCTATCTTTTATCCAGTGTATGTTTCTGACAGCTGACAAGAGGAACTCCTACTGAAGTGCATAGGGCTATTTAAAGGGCCAGACACATGAAATAAATCCTACTACAATAGCAGAAGTGAGCTTCCTAAAAGACACCTGTAATTTCAGTATATGGGAGGCCAAAGCAAGAGGATTATGTGTAGCAGGCCAGCATGATCAGTGAGACAGAGAAATACTGCATTCTGTAGACATTTTTACCTGGCTCTTATTACTTTACCTTCTCTTCTTGAATGTATACATTTTATACATTTATTATTTTGTTGGCAGAATTTATCATAAAGACTTGTTTGTAGTAGATTTTTCATCATGTATATTTAGTTTTTTCAAAAGAATGATTTTTTTAAAAAAATCCATTGCACGTAATTCTTAAGCAAATAATTCAGAAAACAAATTTTGATGTTATTTAATTTTGCTTTAATATGTATTGGCTATGATGTTCTAGATGCAACAGAAAGATTTTAATATAATACAACCCAATTCTTGCTACCCTAGGAACCAGTGATGTACAGAGAGATATACTTAGGATGAATAACACAAGGGAAAGAATGAGAAAGATTGATTTTAATATTTGGACTCAGATCTTTAAAGCTCACCATTTTCACTTTGGGGAGGAAAGTAGAATAATTTAATGTTGACATCATTTCAGTGTTACTCTGTAACAGTTGTCCAGTTTATTCACATTTATGGCTGCAAAACCTTCAGAGTATTTTTGTGAAGGCTAAGATGGGGCTAGTAATGGCCAGGCAGTGTTATACACTCAGGAGGCAAAGACAGGTGGATCTCTGAGCTCGAGGCCAGCCTGCTCTATAGAGCCAGTTCCAGGACAGCCAGGGCTACACAAAGAAACCTCGACTGGGCTGGGGTGGAGTAATGATGGTAAATATATTGTACAGATCAAATGAGAAGAATTTCTATTTGGAGTTGTGGATTAAGGTACAAGTCACTAAAAATATTTTCAAGGCTTTTCATTTGTGTGTGAACTAAATAGGGGATAAGTAGTAGAGGCTTTAAGCACCACAAATTTCACCATAACCTTATAACTATAAACCCTTCCCTCCTCTCTAATGTGATCACTTCTTCCTGAGACTACATGAGGCTTAGCCTACCCTTACCCTAACATAAGTAGCTTATAAGTTTTATTTGTAAGGTTGACTCTGGTATTGTAAACATAAATTTGACCCCTTGCTCACATGCAGAATGTCAGACTCTCCAGTTCTCTCATGCACTTAACCCTGCACCTTTTTCTCTCTGTGATACTCCAGTTCCCTTAAATGCCTGGCTTCCCTGCCTACCATTTGGAACTCTTCATTTCCTGCCAAATGGGAATTTCCTCATTTCTCATCTCTGAGATCTCTTTCTTAGCATATCTTTCACGCTCGGAGAGAAGGCAATGTCTCACTTTTGCCATCCGTGGGCCATTGTCAACCTCAATGCTTTTCTGTGCAGTTTCTTTTAAGAGTCTCACTTGCTCAGTTGTCCCTTTTCTCTATTGCCACCCATTCTCCAGGTTGCCTCTTTGAACACCAACCTCAATATCATACCCCTGAAGACAACAGGAAAGTTTTCTTCTAGGTCTCACCTTTGTCTTACCTTCCTTCTTAGCTTACAGCTGCACTTCTGTAAAGGGGGCAGCTCTGTGGAGTCGCTTCCATACTGCACAGTCTCCTGTTCTCACAGGTGAGCTCCGGCTTGCCAGTTCCCCCTATTTCGCAAGCCATTGCAATAATCATTTCCCATTATCATTTTATTCGCATCATGATCACCAAGCATTTGATATTACCAGTCATTACTTCTCTGAAATCCTCTTCCCTGTGGTTTGTTTTGAGGGCAGATGTTGGAATAATGACCAGAAATGCACAGTTCTTTGGAGAGCTCTTCTTTAGTTGCTCTTTTTCTGTCCCTGTCAGGACATTAGATCTCATACAGACCTACTTGATTGATTGATTGATTGATTGATTGATTGGACGTAATATACTGTACCTTAAAAATTAGTTGTTATCTGTAATCATTATACCACTTGCTCCTGAAAAATTCGTTTGAAGAATTGGAATTTCTCTAGATTATAAAAATATGAATATATAATAAAAGTTTTAAATTATAAGCATGGTCTTCCTCTAAGTCACTATGGGATGGTCATATATGATTGTGTGTGTGTGTGTGTGTGTGTGTGTGTGTGTGTTTCTTTCTAATTTCTGCCTTTTCTTAAGGACATTTATGTAACATTTTACTGAGAAGAACTTACGGGGTTCAAAGATTTTTTTATTTATTTATTTATTTTTGTTTTTTGTTTTTTGTTTTTGTTTTCCGAGACAGAGTTTCTCTGTGTAGTCCTGGCCATCCTGGAACTCACTCTGTAGACCAGGCTGGGCTCGAACACAGAAATCCTCCTGCCTCTGCCTCCCAAGTGCTGGAATTAAAGGCCATGCGCCACCACTGCCCGGCGTCAAAGATGTTTTTAAATTAAACAAGTTTATAGTATTTCAAAAAGCAAGATTTTTTTTTTTTTTACTGATATTGCCTTCATTTAACTGTAGTAACATTTTGCATTTTTGATAGGTTCTCCAAAGAACAAGGAACATGGAAGAATCTGCAAGCCAGTTGCAGCCACTCAGTGAGAATCAAGTAGCCAACTCTGAGGGCGGATATGTATGGCAGGTCACCGACATGAACCGGCTGCACCGATTCTTGTGTTTTGGTTCTGAAGGTGGCACCTACTATATCAAAGAACAGAAGCTGGGCCTTGAGAATGCTGAAGCCTTAATTAGACTGATTGAAGATGGCAGAGGATGTGAAGTGATCCAGGAAATCAAGTCCTTTAGTCAGGAAGGCAGGACTGCCAAACAAGAGCCGCTGCTGTTTGCACTGGCCATTTGTTCCCAGTGTGCGGACATAAAGACAAAGCAAGCAGCATTTAAAGCTGTCCCTGAAGTGTGTCGCATTCCGACCCACCTCTTCACTTTTATCCAGTTTAAGAAAGACCTGAAGGAGAGCATGAAGTGTGGTATGTGGGGACGCGCTCTCCGGAAGGCCGTGGCAGACTGGTATAATGAAAAAGGTGGCATGGCCGTGGCGCTGGCGGTTACGAAGTATAAACAACGAAACGGCTGGTCTCACAAAGATCTCCTACGACTGTCCCACCTTAAACCTTCCAGTGAAGGTGAGCCTAGGAAGACACAGATGATCGAGAAATAGCAAGTTTGCACTTGATTTTCTAGAATTAGCTTTTACTCACAAAACTCAATGCTGTTTATTTAATCGAGACATATTTAAAGCCAGCCTGAAACTAAACACCTGCCTCGGGTAATCCAGACATTGATAATCGAGCTTTGAACACGCTGATTTTATATTTTGAGTTAATGCTTATGTTTTAATCTCCTTTCTAAGAAAGTAATTACTATATCTACATGTCCTTTTCTTCGGGCACTTTCACACACTGATGTCCCAAACGTCTAGTTCAGCATAGCCTTCAAGATTCATGACAGGCAGATTCTAGCAAGAGAAGAAATCAATAGCAGTCTAGAGCACCTGCTATGAAGAAGGTGTATGCTTGCTAAAACCTGAACCTTGTCTGTGCTGTACTCAGACCATTGTCACTTGGTAAGCACTCTAGATAATGTGGCCACATCTTAGGATGTAAACTAGTCACTTCTCAGTGGGTCATGATTCTTGATCAATGGCTGAATCACCTGGAGCAAGTATTTGGTTTCCTGCTGGCTTCAACATATCTGATTAATGAATCGACATTGTGTTTTGTAAATGAAAGTGTCTGTCTGTCATGTAGCTGCTGACATAGTGCTGGTATGGTACTGGGACCCAGACTCAGGTCCGCTATAAGAGGATCCGGTGCTCTTAACCACTGAGCCATCTCTCCAGCTACTCCCTCAGTTTTTCCTAGGTTAAAAAAAAAAAAATCCTTCCTAAAATCAGAAAAAATATGTTTTTTTTTCTTAAACATACCATTTATTACTTTTAAATCGGATCCAATATACACTCGACGTTCTTTTACTCTGTGTTTTGACACTAATAGCATAGAGCTGGTACTCAGGTATAAAAAGACCTCAATTTACAACTGATAGTGAACGGCTAGTCTCTAAACAAGAGGTCCCGTGTGGGCACTCTCGTCATGGTCTATAGTGTGAGGACAAGAAGATGTTCCCTAAACTTTTTTTTTTTTTTTGGTTTTTCGAGACAGGGTTTCTCTGTGTAGCCCTGGCTGTCCTGGAACTCACTCTGTAGACCAGGCTGGCCTCGAACTCAGAAATCCACCTGCCTCTGCCTCCCAAGTGTTGGGATTAAAGGCGTGCGCCACCACTGCCCAGTGATGTTCCCTAAACTTATGTCTGCAGGAAGTGTTCAGTCTAAGCTACTAAAAGCGAAGCTCACACTGAAGTTTTGTTGATAACAGCAACATCACAGATGATCCCAAGGCTCCTCCTGTGAAAAGAAATTTAAACTAATTCTAAACAACTGAGTAAATAATATGTTAATGTGTTAACTAAAGTGTGCATTTATAAAGACATGAAGTCAAAATATAATTCTTTTAATCAGTTATTTATTATATGTGCCTGTGGGATTAAGGAACTTTTAATTTTTTTTGGAAAAACAATATAAAAGACTTTATGTGAAGCATATAATTATTAAGACAGCTTTGTCTTAAATCTGTAAGAAAACAAGAGATATAATACTGTAGAAATTCCTGCATATCAGAACTAACTTCTGACTTAATTATCTAAATTTGAGTTCAAAAATTGAACATAGGCTGGTTCAGTTTTATTTAAAGATAAATTTTATTTAGCCTATAAAAATATTTTGAGGAAAAAATGAAATCTTTGTCAGGATATTAAACAAACTACATATAAAAAAAAAATCTACATTCTGCCCTGCCTTCAGATCAGCTGACCATGGTGCTAGGGTTGACCCTCAGACCTTGTACATGCTATGTACATACTCTCTAAGGCACTGAGCTATGTCCCCAACCATTTTTATTACTTTTGTCATTCATTCATTCATTCTAAGCTTTCAGGATTAGACCTAATACACATGTGAGGTGAATTCTCTATGGCTGAGCTGTAATTCCCACCCTCTCAACATTTTATTCTGAAGCAAAGTCTCACTAAATTAACCAGACTGGCCTTGAACTCAAGATCCCAAACCTCTAAGCAGCTGGAATTAGAGGCTGTGCCCCTAGACCTACCTGGCTTAAGATTTATCTTGAAAGTTCTTTTTTTCTTTCTTTCCTTCTTTCCTTCTGTTTTGTTTGTTGGTGTTTTGGTTTGGTTTGGTTTTTTCCAGCACTAAATTACACTCTCTGACCATCACAGTGCTAGTGATTTTTAGATCATCGTGTCCTGTTTCTGTATTTTACCTGTTGCTCTCTTAATGAACCTGTCTTGTTAATCTCTACACGATTTGTGGATTTGTAGATTAAGAGGTAGAAAAATGCTGGGCTGTGGTGACGCACGCCTTTAATCCCAACACTTGGGAGGCAGAGGCAGGTGGATTTCTGAGTTCGAGGCCAGCCTGGGCTACCGAGTGAGTTCCAGGACAGCCAAGGCTACACAGAGAAACCCTGTCTCGGAAAAAAAAAAAAAACAAAAAACAAAACACAAGAGGTAGAAAAATTATGGTTTTTCAGAAAATGCATTAAGGAATGAAAAGAGCTACTTCTTCTTGTAGTAGTTTAGACTGAGTGAGCCCAAATTTAAATTTTGTGCTTTTCCCTGTCTTCCTTCAGTCTGTAGTTTGTAGTCTGTAGCCTATCTATTGTCTGTCTATCTGTAGTTTGTGTCTGATCCATTCCTGTTGTCTGCTTTGGGAAAGGCATATAAAGGACACTCTTCTGTAAATATCTTTAACAAAGTTTACAAAGGAAGAAGTTACTTTACTAATCCATATTGACCAAAGTAGCTCTCAAGACCAAGCACTTATGTTACCAACCTATAGTCATGTGTTGCTTCTAACATCTTTGGCATATTTGTTGTTTTAAGTTGCTTTTAACCTATGTAATTACTACAGTGAATGCATAAATATATTAGTCTGGGTCAGGAGCATGGAAGAAAGCATACTTTAAGATTTAGCTTAAATTGCAAAAACTGATTACATGGGAAATCCAAGGCACAGAAGGCTGGTTACATTGTTTTCTTAAGGCAGGTTGCATTTAAAGCTAAGTACATAGTAGGGTGGCAGGATGGATACATAGTTTTAAATGACTCACGGAATATTAAATAACTCTGTTTCAAGATCTGACAAAAGTTTATCTCTTCAAAAGCAAAAGTATTTTCAGCAAAAGATATACCATAACCAAAAGTATAGGCTTAAACATAATTTCCTCACTCCAAACCACTTTTTACTACTTTTAATAAATGTAAAAGGAATGCACAGGTTATTTTCCTTTTTTTAAATATTGGGCTTCTCATAGTTTCTGTTGCTAAACAATTTAATGGCCTGTCTCCACATAATCACTAGTGTCCAAAATCCATATTTATTCAAAAGCACAGGATAAATCAGTGTGATAATATGGAGTAGATGAATATTCTGAGTGAGGTTATGAATGTAAAATAGGCAATGTCTACAAAGTTTCTAGTATCAATATCTCAAAAGTGCCCCTGTAATACAGTTAAACTACAGATAGATTTCCCACCACCACATTTTAGACTGTAATGTTGTGTTAAAAAACAAAAACAAGAAACATTAAAAAAAAAAAAAGCACCTCACTTCATATGCTGAAACGTGTTTGTTACGTGACAGAACATAGCATCCCATCATAAGGGAGTCAGCTCCTGTCTCTTAAGCTGATCACAACACAGTCTCAGGAACCCTGTTCTAGTTTCACTAATCCTACTTGCCTTTTCAATTCTTTATCTTGTTAAAGGACTTGCTATTGTGACCAAATATATCACAAAGGGCTGGAAAGAAGTTCATGAACAGTATAAAGAAAAAGCACTTTCTGTGGAGACTGAAAAACTACTGAAGTACCTGGAGGCTGTGGAGAAAGTGAAGCGTACAAAAGATGACCTGGAAGTCATTCATCTAATTGAAGAACATCAGTTAGTTAGGGAACATCTGCTGACAAACCACTTGAAGTCTAAAGAGGTGAGTACATCTCTTTAAAAAGAGAAACTTGAAGTTACAAACCCTTGATTCAATCCCAAGCCCTACTAAAATAAGAGAAGGGGCCAAGGAGAAGGCTTCTTGTTTATAGCATTTGATGAACAGGCAAGAGGACCAACCAGTGTTCAGATGTGGAGTGGGAAGACAGAGATAGATACCCAGAGCAAGGTGATTGGCAAGACCAGCCAAATTGCTTATCAAGGAGCTTTGGGTTTTACTGAGAGACTGTACCTCAAAAGAAAAGTAAAGAGCTAGTAAGAAAGATTCCCAGCTTCAACCTCAAGCCTTAAAACACACACACACACAAACACACACACACACACACACACACACACGCACACACATGCACGCTTGTATTCTCACACTTACACACATTGCAGGGAAGAGGGACCAAACATATATTTAAAGTGATAGTTATTAAAAATATTCAGCATTAATGTGATACCAACATTATTCCAGCACAAACACACACACACACAAACACACAAGCTATCTTGAAAACTTAAAAAGCTCTGTGTTTTCTCCCCAGAAATCTCACTTTCTTATTAGATAACTTTTGATGAACTGATTTTCATTCTGGAAGTCCTTTAAGCCCTAAGTAAATGCTACATTGCTAATTCGACTGATTTAACTCTGCTACCCTGAGTCATTTCCCATAACTCTTTGCGTTTCTCACTAGCTATCCCCCTCCTGTTGTTTGTTTTTCCCCTATAGGTATGGAAGGCTTTGTTACAAGAAATGCCCCTTACTGCACTGCTAAGGAACCTGGGAAAAATGACTGCTAATTCAGTACTTGAACCAGGAAATTCTGAAGTATCCTTAGTATGTGAAAAACTGAGCAATGAAAAACTGCTCAAGAAGGTATGTGTGAGCCATGGCTCGGTTAGCTCATGATGAAAGCTAGCTCTTTGGGGGACTTAGGACTTCTCTCATGGCAAGCTGCATTCTAATTCTTAAAGCTAAGTTTAATATTTGTTCTTCCTTTCTTGTGTTCTTTACCTCTAGTAATATAAACCTCTCAAAACTCATAGTTATTGTTTTTACTTGAACTTGGCAACTACCTTCTGTCTATCTTGTTTCTAGGCTCGTATACACCCATTTCATGTTTTAATTGCATTAGAGACCTACAGAGCAGGCCACGGGCTCAGAGGGAAACTGAAGTGGATTCCAGATAAAGAAATCTTGCAGGCATTGGATGCTGCTTTTTATAAAACATTTAAGGTAATAATTTTATCTTCTTTATTTAAAAAAGACTTGGGGATTACTGCATTTTGTAAAAACACAGTTAGTGGTTTTTATATTATTTTATCTTAATATAGTATATACCCATTGTTTTTTCTATCATTATGAAGGTGATTACAAATTTGACATCATAAGTTTATGTGTGATTCTTATCACGTTAAGTAGCTGCTACTTATCCCAAGGTCATTTTAATAATTTTTAAAGTCATTGATAAATTACTGAATTTCAATATTTGCATTCTGGTGGATTCCTTCGACCTAGTACTCCTTTTTAGATTCATTGTTAATTGGGAACTGGGTCTTAATAATCAGTTTTTCAGAATGGAAATCTAGCTATAAGTTAAAATTTTTCATTTCAAAATTTCTGGATACACCACAAAATCTAACATCCATATTATGTAGCAAATTAAAAGGATTCTGCATAATCACCAAGTGATATCCCTGATGTGCAAGGACATTTCAACACTAGAGCACCCATGAGTATAATCTTATCAGAAAAGGGACATAGTATCAATTGATGAAATAAAAAAGCATTTTGACAAAATTTAACATGTTTTCTTTAAAAGAAGCTCATATATAGGGCTGGAAGGATGACTCAGCAGTTAAGAGCACTGTCTGCTTTTCCAGAAATCTTGAGTTCAATTCCCAGCAACCACATAGTGGCTCAGAACATCTATCCTGGAATCTGATGTCCTCTTCAGGTGTTCAGATGTACATGCAGATAAAGTACTCATATACATAAAACAACTAAATTTTTTTAAAAAATCATAGGTATCATCATATTTGGATAAAACAACAAAAGCTTTTTCCTTAAGATCAAAAATAAAGGTGGCTACTTTCCTAACTTTAGTGCCACAGAGTATTAAGAATTGTAATTATATAAGAAAAAAGCCTCACGAGGAATGTTCATTATTATATCCAGAAAACCCTAAAGAACTCATACAGAAACTGTGTTAGAGTGAAATAAATTCAACAGAGTTTCAGGTTATAAAGCAATACATTAAAAAAACAACAACAACAAAAACACACAAAACCATTTGTTAGGTCAGGCATGGTTGTACAGATCTGTAATCAACACTTGAGAAGTGGAAGTAGCAGTCAGAAGCCAGAGCCACACACATCACAGCATGCTCAAGGCCATCCTGGCCTACCTGAGACAGTGTCTCAAAAACTAGGGATGAAAAAAATAAACAAATAATAAATAAAATAAGTCAGTTGTATACTGTAATAATAAACTACTTGAAAATAAAATTAAGAAAATACTAGTATTTCATGTATCACTAAAAGAAAACAAATAGTGCGGTGCAATGGTTACACACTGTAAACTATAAAACAGCGCCAAAAGAATAAGGACAGCAGGATGGCAGCCATCCACACCTCTGCACTAGAAGAGGACAGAGCTATCCAAAGCCATCTATAGATTTCAAAGTCCCAATGGCATGTTTTGCAGGAAATTAACAATCCATAGGAAATTCCCACTGACTCCAAGTAACCAAAACAGTCATCAAAAGCACATTTGCAGGACTCATGTCTGGCTTTAAGAAGTCAACAATGACAAATCACCATGCTGCTGTTAAAAGGACAGATATGGTGGCCAAAAGAATAAAACAAGAGTCTGGAAACAAACTACACATTCAGGGCAGTTAATGGTTAAGGATCCCAGAATGAGTTCATTGAGAAAGGGCAGTTTCGACAAACTGTGCTGGAAGAAGGACATGAGGAGGGAGGTGGAGCATTGTCTTACAGCATTCGTAAAACCATTTCAGGAGAGATCAGTCGCCTACATTTAGGAACTAAATGTAAAAAGAATAATAAAACACAGGTGACAACAATTAAAGAAATTGAACTTCAGAATTTGAAACATAAAGTGGCAGTGGTGGCTCACGCCTTTAATCCTAGTACTCAGGAGGCAGAGGCAGACAGATCTCTGAGTTTGAGGCCAGCCAGGTCTACAGGGTGAGTTCCAGTATGGCCAGGGTTACACAGAGAAACCCTGTCTTAAAAAATAAAAAGCTGAAATATGTGCATCACACAGTGTTAGAAGAAAGTAGGAAAAAATTACATAGTGGGAGAAAATATTTGCAGATTATACATCTATATAATGAAAAGCATTTAATATCCATAGTATAAAAAGTCCTGAGGTTCAATAGTACAATCATAAGCCAGTTTCAAAATTGACAAAGTATTTGAATAGATAGATTTTTAGAGCTGTATAAATGAAAGATGCTCACTAGGATTAGTCAGATCAAAAGCACAGATGACATGCCACTCTGCCCCTAATTGGATAGATGTTAGCAAAAAAAGGAACAAGGAGAGTCGGGCAGTGGTGGCCTTTAATCCCAGCACTTGGGAGGCAGAGGCAGGTGGATTTCTGATTTCAAGTCCAGCCTGGTCCACAGAGTGAGTTCCAGAACAGCCAGGACTATACAGAGAAACCCTGTCTCGACCCCCCCCCCAAAAAAAAAGGAACAAGTATTAGGAAGGTGGAGAGATTGGAACCCTTGTATATTATCAGTAATAAAGTAAAATGTTGCAGCCTGTGAAAGTCAGCATCAGAATGTTAAATATGGAGTAGTCAGAATGCTACACCTGTCTATAAATCCCCACACTGGGCATGGTGGGAGAGACTGAGACAGGTGGGTTACTGTGAGTTCAGAGTCCACCTTGGGCTCCAAAACAACACCCTGTCTCAAAAACAAACAAACAAACAAAACATAAGTAAAATACCAACCTGGTGAGCATGCTGACACATGCCTTTAATCCCAGCACACAGAAGACAATGCCAGGGGGACATCTCTGAGGTCAAAGCCAGCCTGGTCTACATGTAAGTTCCAGTGCAGCCAGGGTTATATAGAGAAACCCTGTCTCAGGAAAAGAAAAAAGGCAAAAAACTGTGATACCATCAAGAATTCAGCCTCAGTATATGCCCCAGAGAACTGATATCAGGTACTTGACTTGTTTTGTACACTAGTCTATCCCAGCTCTACTAAAAGTAGCCAAAAGGTTCCCTTGTGTCTTCTAGGCTGCATATTGTGAAGTACACACTGTAGTGTGAGAACACAGCCTAGGAGGTGCCAGAGTTAAACATGTAAGCTTGAGGTTGCTGCTTAGGTGGATGAAGTGTCTGTGTGACAATGACAGAGTCTACATATAAGACAGTGTTCATGTGCCATGAAGATAATCAATGCTCCTCAGTTGTACTCTTTTTTTTTTTTTTTTTTGTTTTTTTTTTTTGGTTTTTTTTCGAGACAGGGTTTCTCTGTGTAGTCCTGGCTGTCCTGGAACTCACTCTGTAGACCAGGCTAGCCTCAAACTCTCGAACTCAGAAATCCGCCTGCCTCTGCCTCCCAAGTGCTGGGATTAAAGGCTGGGATTAAAGACGTGCACCACCACCGCCTGGCAAGTTGTACTCTTTAAAGTGGCTATAGAGTAAATGTTTTCTTTACCACAGTTAGAAAGAAATTCTTAGAAGTTTACTTCATTGAAAAGATTTTTAAAACTAGGACCTTAACTTCTTTCAGTAAAATTAAACACATTACATCTTTCTCTTCATTTTACCAGTTAATAAGAGGTAGAATGTTAAAAATAATAGTCACTTAACTTGCATACCATCAAAACAGGCCTGTCTTCTAGGAGCCTTATGAGTGAAAGATAAATACAAATATAATTTCAGACTTTTTTATAACTACTTTATTTTGTTTTCTTTTTAGACAGTTGAGCCAACTGGGAAGCGCTTCTTGCTCGCTGTTGACGTCAGTGGCTCTATGAACCAGAGAGTTTTGGGTAGTGTACTCAATGCTAGTACTGTTGCTGCAGCAATGTGCATGGTGAGATCCCCTAAGACAACTTAGTGTTCCCACCCCCTAAAACGTCTTCAGATTAAAACTGTCAAGGCCAGCATCACCCAGAATTAGCCTTTCACTTATTTTATCATTTCACTTATGTAACATTTATCATTTTATATCTAAAGACAAGTTTATAATGCAAAGTTTTACTCATGCTGAAAAGGGGCGTCGTGTAAGGAAGGATCAGATCTGAGCTGCCAAATGTTACAGCAAGATTAAATGTTACTAGTATATGCAAAATTACATAATGGTTAGTGGGGGGAAAAACCTGGTTTAAAAGCTTTAATGGGCATTAGAGAGCTTCACCTCTTGCCATGGTTCCCTCCTCACATAGCAAGGAGGCGCTTCTCCACTTCTCTGCCTTCATTCCTCATTTAGTAAAATGAGCAGTGTGTGTTTGTTTCTTTGCCTAGGAGAGTGCTGTAGACACCAGCTTCTCAGAATTTTTTTGAATTATGGTTTTTGTTAGTTTGTTTTCATGTATTGGCCCCGGGGAAGGGGCCCCTCAGGACAGACAACATGCAGGAGGCATTCTGTTCCTCCACCTTGTAGATTCCAGAGATTGAACTCAGAGCAACTGGCAGCAAGGACCTTTTCCCACTGAGGCATCTCCCTAGCCTGTGCTCCCCAGTGCTGTGACTCTATATTCTGAAACACAAAAAATGCAAGTTTAGGAATAATAAGCATCATAGTGTTTCTTATCTAGATAACTTTATATAAGCCGTTAAGAGACTAATTTTTTCAGTATGCTGAAAACCACTACCATTGCACTTTTACAGGTGGTTACACGGACGGAAAAAGAATCTTCGGTGGTTGCTTTTGCGTGTGATATGGTACCATTTCCAGTGACTGCAGACATGACATTACAGCAGGTTTTAACGGCTATGAATGAAGTAAGACACTGTTTTATTAACATGTCCTTTCATTTTGTACTTGGGGCATTGTGTAGTAGCTGGAAGAAAAATTGTTCTAACTTCTCATGGTGAGCACAGTCAAAAATGGATCTCTGCAGACATGGTACAGTCTGCATATTGGTTTACATAAAATGATGCTCTAAGGTTAAGAGCGTTTATGTATTTATTTCAGACATCTAATGGACACTGAGGTTGTTTTATTTTACTGCTGTTCCTTTTCTTTTTCCTGAGATAGGTTCCAGCAGGCAACACAGACTGCTCTCTTCCAATGATCTGGGCCCAGAAAACAGGCACAGCTGCAGATGTCTTCATCGTATTCACCGATAATGAGACCTTTGCAGGGCAGGTGCATCCTGCTGTTGCCCTGAGGGAGTACCGAAAGGTAAACATCTACCCTTCTGTCAGCTACTGGTCCTCTCTAAACAGGCTCCATTAGGGAGGGTGTTCCCTTTGTGTAGGAAAGCCAGTGTCTGGTGGGCTAGTAGAGACTACACAAACATCATCCAGTTCCAATGCTAAATATGAACAAGAATGCCCTTTGCTGGTGCTTTTGATAATGACCAAATATATATATTTGACCTCAGCTATAATTTATGTGACATATTGCATTTCTTTAAAAAAAATTGTTATCATTTGTAAGTTTAACTAAAAACTATATGAAATTACAGCAAATTTTTAAGTCTGTATCCTAAACTTTATCATATGTATGTCTGATCATTCTCTATTTTCCTCCCTTGGCCTTTGTCAGATGACAGAATGTTTTATTACTATTCTGTCCAATATGGTAGACACTGGTCACTAGGCTGTTGAATGTTAACATTCAGCGCATGTGACTAAAATATAAGAAGACCTTACTATGAAGATCAGTAGTTCTCACCACATAATTTTCCTACCAACTGTAGTATCATCTGGTGGTCAGGTCAGAAATGAACATGGCAGACCCCATCAGACATCCGTCAAATTCTGTGAGTAGGGTTCAGGTTTCCCATGAGTGCTTACTTTTGAGCGCCATAAAGGAGAGACTAGAATTTGGACTAAAAGCAGTCTAGATGTTAGTCTTGAGTCTCTTCTGCTAAATGTGGGTCTGAACAAGTTAGTTAGCTGACAAATGTCACAGTAGGTAATGATGCATACCTTTTAGGGTTGATCCAACACTTATACCTGTCTCAAAAACAAATTAGTCATTAGAACTTGTCACGGTAGCTTAGCATGTAATCCAGCATTCAAGATACTGAGGCAGGGGCTAGAGAGATATAGCTCAGTAGCTAAGAGCACACATTGTGCTTGCAGAGGACCTGAGTTCATTTTTAAACACCTATGCTGGGTGTTTCACAACTACCTATAATTCCAGGTTCAGGAGACTGATGCATCTAGCCTCTGCAATAACCTGTATTCATGTGTATTCAAGCATGCATATACACATATGTGTGCATGTGTGGACGCATACATGCAAGCACACACACACACACATATTACAAATAAAATCTTTAAACCAAAGAAACTAAGACAAAAGAATTATTGCTAAGCTACATAAGGAGTTTAAGAGTAACCTGGGCTACATATATAGTAATATTTTGTCACAATTAATGAGTAAGTAAGGGCTGGAAATGTATCTCCATTGGTAGAGTAGGTGTCTACCATACATGAAGCTCTAGGCTCAGTCCCCAGCACTGTATAAAATTAGGTATGGTGGTACATGCCTACAAGCTTAACATTTGGAAGGTGGGGCAAAAGGATCAGAAGTTCAGATCATGTTCAGCTACATAGCAAGTTTGCAGTCTTTCAGAGCTACATGAAATCCTGCCTCAAGGATTAAATTTTTCCAAACAAAAACCTTAATTTTTTAATTATTAAAAAATTTTAATAGATTTATTATAGTGACTGACAAAACTATGCTTTCATTGATTGTTTCTTCCTTAATATTTAGTGACCTTAAATACATATAGAGAGACTGAAAATATAGCTCAGTAATTCAATGGTAGAGAGTTTATCTAGTACACTCAAGGTCTTGGCTTGGTCCATAACACAAAGGATGGCTACTAAGAATAAAGAGAAACAGATGGGAGATGGACCAGGAAGTCAAGGAGAGAAAGGGGACAGAATTATAGTTTGCAAGAGCACAATTCATTTATTGTATATATTAAAATTGTAAGCTGAACTTGGTGTAATCCCAACCTTTGGTAGGAGGAGCCATGGTTGTGCATCCTGGTCTTAATTTTTAAGGATTTTTTGTTTGTTTTTATATATATATAATTTCATATGTAGTGAAGCTTTCTCCTATATTTTCCCTACAGAAAATGGATATTCCTGCTAAATTGATTGTTTGTGGGATGACATCAAGTGGCTTTACCATTGCAGACCCAGACGATAGAGGCATGTTGGATATGTGCGGCTTTGATACTGCTGCTCTGGATGTCATTCGGAATTTCACATTGGATGTCATTTAACCCTGAGTGCCAGAACGATATGAGAGGTGCACTGCTGTGGTGGATTTCAATGAAAATACACAGCTACTTCCCAGCTAGATGCATAGTGAGAAATGTCATCAGTATGTGCATGATAGAAATGTGCTGTGGCAAGAACAGGAGAAGAGGGAAGGAAGGAAGGAAACACATGTTGGGCCCAAAGGTACATGTACTCAGCTAGCTCTTCAGAAGTCTTCAGGAAACTGTAGCTTTCTCTATAGAGAACTTTCTTTTTAACAGACACTGTAAAATAGTCATGTTTTACTTCACGGAATCAGGTCTTTGTACTGAAAGTGAGATACAAAGTATAAGTAGCCTCACATCCTGTCACTTATCTGACAAGTGCTTGTTTTCTTAAATGTCTTCATTGGAAAAGGACAGTTTTGATAATGTCCAAATACTCTGAGGTGCACTAGACCATGTGACTGTGACGGAAATGAACCTCACCAGGTAAATTTTTATACCAAGGGGTTTAAAAAAAAAAAGACATTTGGTTAAACTAAATTATGAATGAATTTTACAAATTCAGAGTTTTCTAAGATCATATGAACCAACAGCTTTCTTATTCAATGAAAAAGATGTTTTCTTTCTGGTGTTTAATTTGTACTTGTTAGGATTTGTTACTATTTGGCCAAAACATGATGGAAATCCCTATGGGACTTGTTGAACTTATATAGGCTGAGGACTGTGCTTTGTAGCCTTGCGTTAGCTGAGCACCAACTGTGTCTCATGTACTTACGCTTTCCTGGGTGTTTCACATGTTTAAGTCCCCCCATCCATAATCCTGACACTGTAACAATTCCAACTCCACTGTAAACACATAGCTTTTCTGTACCCCTAAAATACCTTTAACTAATTGTCATATTTTTCTAATATTAAGTTTGTCTGAAGTCTTTTATATTTTTGTCCACTATTCATTTTGTGTCTACTTTCTTTTTTGATAGAGTAGAGAAATAATAAAGCAAGCTAGATCCTTCAAGTTCAAAGGCAATTTTAGAGTAGCAGCCATATCAACCAATCAGTTTATGTAGAAAATTTAAGAACTTATTTTGTACAAATTAAACTTCTTTTTCACCATACTAAAATACATTCTTTTCTTGAGCAATTACATGTTTTCACTGGGAAGCTTAGCATGAGAATGGCCTATTGAAACACCAGTAGTTTTTCTCTTAATTCAATAATGGTATCTAAGGTAGTTTATACTAAAACTCTAATTTCTATGTATTACTCTTTAAATATTAAAGGTTTACTGGGGGCTTATAAAGCCCTTCCAAAACTAGTTTGTGTAGGTTACATAACCTTGTAAGTGTTGGGGGGGGGTGAAATTCCTTTACTTGGGGAAGAAAGGGGCTTTGCTAGTGTGAGGATTTGTGTACATATTTTCTGCTCTTTCCTAAGAAATTTAGTCTCAGAATAAGAAAATGTTCCCTTCAGATGATTTGACATTAATAAAGTTTCATATGTAGCCATTCCTCTAAGACAGTAACAAATTTTCAGTGTTATTAGCAAAGATAGTATCAGCTCCAATTCTAAACACTATTGCTTCTGATGCTGTTCTGGCTTGACCACTGTAAACATCTTAACTAATTCTGATATATTTAAAATCTCATATTCAAATTGAATTTAAGGTTAAAAAACCTAGTAATACACGAGAGCTATTGAATTCTTTAAACCCAGGACCTAAGTTTTAATATGATCTAACTTATTATGAAATTTACATAGAATATTATATAAAAGCTTATTTCTTTTTTTTCTATGCTGCTTAGAGAGTGCTTTTAGGCAAGCAGAGTATACCTAGGAGCTAATATTTAACCCATCAGGGAAATGAGAGTCACCTACCGGTGACCTTTCTACAGTATTTAGGTAGAAATAATTAAATAGATTAAGATTGAAGATAGGGGCCAAGTGTGATGATACATGCTTTTATTCCAGGGGAAACAGAGGCGGGTAGATCTCTTAAGTTAGAGGCCAGCCTGCTCTACATAGTGAATTCCAGACCAGTCAGGGCTATGTAGTGAGACCCTGTCTCCAAAAAGAAAAAAGGTTTAAGGAAAAAAAAAATCCGCACAGAAAGAATTTTTGTCTTCAAATCACAAAACTTCAGAGTAAAAAGAAAACTTAGAAAAAATTGTATTTGGTTAATAACCAAAAACCAGTCTGGATCTTCTGGATGTTTGTGTGTTGGTTATTTTTTGTTTTGTGACAGGGTCTCTCTATATAGACATAGTCATGACTATTCTGGAGCTCACTATGTAGACCAGGCTGGCCATGAACAGGCATGGCCTCCTGCCTCTGCCTCCCTAGTGCTAGGGTTAAAGGTGTGTGCCACTATGCCAAGCCTAAGGCGGGATGGTTTTGGAGAGGGGTCTTCTTCTCCACTCAGCGTTCTGACTTTCACTCTCTCATCCATGGGGCACATTGATTTAGTAAGAGATACAGTAGAATTATGCAAGCCTTTTACCTAATTTAGACGTTAGGAATTGGTGATATGCATGATTACTTTAGGAACTTGTGAACATGTGTGATTTTTTTTTTTTTGATTTGGAGTAATTCTCAAACACAACTGTGTCTCTTCAGCCTATGCTGCCATGGAATCTAGCCACATAGAAAGGCATTATTACCTCATTATGCATAGGATACCCTCAAGTGGTAGACAAGTTTTATTTTCCAAAGTAACCACTAGGGTTACTCGTAAATAAATAGAATGGAAGAAATACTGCATTAAAAAGCAATCTCAAGAAATATAAACATTATTTCCTAAATACTATGTAAATATTTCCAGGATTTAGTTGTTATTTATAACACAAAACACTAATCTTTTCATCTCACTGTTTTTTGATTAGTGGCTAGTCCACTTATTAAAACTGTTACTTAGTAACTTTTCAGGGTGTGTTAGGAAGGGATAAGCTAGTAAGTAGAATGCACTTCATCCTTTGGAGCTTCTTGTTTTCTTTCATGTGCTGTGTCATTATGGACAACCAGTTCAACCTATATTGTAGATTCTGCTCTCCTACAAATTAATGTATCTTATTCTCAGATCAGAGAGCAATCAGTTTAATAGTACTTACCTAATATTGAAACGGGAAAGGAGACCTTTCGTTACAAGTTCAAACTTCGTTTTTATTTATAAACATTAAGATATCATTATTCCCTGATAAACAGGAAGAAGACATATATTTTTTAAAAAATGAAAGCAAAGCTCATAGTCAAAATAGCACCATGCTGTTACTAGCAAGCACTTCCTTATATTATTTGTATAGCAATTAAGTCTGCAACTGACAAACTGACACATTGTTTCTTTCCTAGACTTTGACAAAAAAAATGTAAATTTGAGAATATAATGATCTTTAGAAGCACAGTAAGAGTACATGTAAGTAGGAAATGAAAGCTAAATCAAATTCTTGGAGTTATTTTCCTGTGACCTAAACATTTTGTCCCAGGGCAAGCAAGATGTCATAGTGGGTAAAGACACTCACCACCAAGCTTGATGAATTGTTCCCAGTCCCTGGACCCCACATAGTAGGAAGAGAAACCAGTTCCTGCAGGTTGTCTTCTGATCTCCACATGCGTGTATGCATGTGTATGTAAAAGTGAAAAAAAGATGTTGCAACAGATTTGGCGGTTGTGTGGTGTGCTGGTGGTAAAAATAACTCAAAATGCAAAACCCAGTCTTGGATTCCATTGGGTTTGTTAGGGTACAAATTGTCCTCTTAGAGAAACCTCACACATCCAGAAGGAAGGATCACAAAAGATGATGGGTTCTTTGTGAAACAAGCCAGCGTTAACTCAGAAATTACTTTGTTCTCTTGATACTTGCTCCATCATCTCTTATTCCATGGAAAATTACTTCTCGCCCATTTTTCTCTTCTGAAAAGTCATCTCCCATTTTTGTCTTTTTTCCAATTTGATCCAGTTGGGTAATAAATTGCAAGACCAGAAAGTCATCCACATTCAAGTCTGAGGCAAATCTCTTGCAGGTTTTTTTTTTTCATTTTATATAAATTTAAGAGTATATTTTTCAGGGTTGGTGAGATGTCTCACTGCTTAAAAGCACTGGCTGCTCTTCTAGAAGACCCGGGTTCAATTCCCAGTATCCACAGGGCAGCTTACAACTCTCTGTAATTCCAGTTTTGGGGATCCTACACCATCACACAGACATACATGCAGGCAAAACACCAATGCACATTAAAAAAAATAATAATAAATAATTCATTTTAAAAAAACACTTTTTTTTCCAAATTACTGGAGTAATACTCAGATTGATATGTTCTCTCCCCAAATCGAGTCAAGTCATATTGTAGATATTCCAGAAATGGTGTGGCCATTCAATAAGATCAGTTTTCAGAATCTGAGTGAAATCATTGCTAAACACTGAAAAGACATATATATATATACACATATATATATTTGACAGCAATCTCAAAAAGTGACACACATATTCTCTCAGTTCTATAATTACACTCCTAGTTTACAAAGTCTTTCAACTGAGTGTCCATTCATGCTTACATACATGTACACTGAACTTACAAAAAGCCTTATAATGACTTATGTTGACATTCAGTATCTTATTGGTAACTATTTACACTTTTGAAAAATATCACTATGAAATTTAAAGCTGATTCTAAAATATTTTTCACATAGAAAACTAATAATGTAGCTAAGTATGCTATTTGAATAAAATTATAACAGATGACACAGTTTTCCTGAACCCTAAAAATAACAAGCTATCTTAGAAAAATGAAAAGGAAGATCAATAAGATTCTATTCCTAGAATTGTGATTATTCCCACTCAGCATTTGTAAATATAATGAAGATATACAAAAGCTGTTTCTGATCCTTCAGAGATATGTTTGCCTTTCTACTTTATTTATCCCTGCCTTTAATCATCTTAACTTTGTGAACACAAGTGAACTTTGATTTTTAAAATATTTGAACTTCTATACCTTGTATAAGTTAGTGGAATCTGGATTTGAAAAAAAAAAAGAAGAAACTGAATTATTTCCATTTCTGCTGGTTTAACTTACTGTATATTTACATTATTAAAAGTATCACAAATGAATGGGTTAATATTCTGTTAACTATGTGTAATTGCTAAATTATAACAGTGTAATCATTACATTGAAACTTGCGTCTAAATGATTTCTTAGACTTTGTTTGAAGTGTTAATGCAAGCCCCATTATGACAAAATTAGATTTAAAGATAGATAGTGAATGAATACTAATGAAGACAACTGTTCTTGTCTCACTGTTCTAAATATAGAATATATATTTGGTATGGTTAGTGAAATAGCTTTTGTTATTATTTAAGTTACAATTTCTTATTGCAAATTTAATAATGAATTCTCCAAATGAATGGGATGTATGGACTTATATTTGAAAGAAATGGAAGAAAAGTGTTACGATCTGCTTCTAAACTATCTATTTGTTTTATTACAATTACATTTATTTCCATAATTGGCCAATTAATGGATCTTTCAGGTATCCAGAATTATGTCTGCATGGACTAAATTATATTAAGAGCCTTAAAGTGGAAAAAAGGACTCTTGACTGCCTTAACATATGACAGGCTCTCCTTTCCAGACATACTAATTTCTTTAGGGTCTGTTAAATAAGTAATGCCTTAATAGTGTGCTAATGTTTCTGAAGAGGAGAGCTTACAGGGTCTTCTAGAGCTTTTAATTTTACATAATGAATGGAAATTTAACTGTTAGATATTAAACCTGATTGCACATTAATAATTTTAAACAAGAAAAGAATAATCTGGCTATGCTGATACGTTATAAATATATGACTGTAACATCAGTATATTTTATGGTTGCTTAAGATTTTTAAAGTTTTGTATAACCAGTTATCCAGAAGCTGGACTTCCTGGCCATAACATGACCTCCAAGGACCATGTTGCATATTTAACACCAGATGAAAAGTACAGTTGTATAGTTCCAAAAAGAATTGCTTTTTAAGGAAAATTTTTGAGACAAAAAGCAAATTTTTTGGTTCAAGCCTATGAGCAAAGTCATTTAGAGAATGGAAGATAGTATTAAAACCTTGAAACTCTTGCAATAAAAATATCAGGCTAGGGACTTGT